ATGCAAATCAAAATGCAAATCAAAATCACAAGGAGATACCACTTCATACACACTAGAGTAGCTATAATAAAAAGGCAATAACAAGGTTTGGTGAGAATGTGATAAATTGGAAGTCACATGGTTGCCAGTGGGAATGTAAAGTGGTGCAGCCATTTGGGGAAATAGTACTTCAAAATGTTAATGTAGAATTTCCATGTGATTCAGCTATTCTACTCCTAGGAATCTATCCACAAGAATATAAAACACGTGTCCACACAAAGACTTGTACACAGATGTTTATAACAGCATTATTTACATTAGCCCAAAGGTGAAAACAATATAAATGTCTATTACCACATGAATATATAAATAATATGTAGTATATCCACATGATGGAATAGTATTCAGCAATCAAAAAAAATCTGATACTACAACATGAATGAAACTCAAACACATTTTGTTCAGCGAATAAAGCCAGTCACAAAAGACTATCTATTCTGATTCAGTTTATGTGAAAAGTACCAAATAGGCAGATTTACAGTGGCAGCAGTAGATAAATCGTGCCTAGGGCTGGAGGTGGGGGTCAGCTGCAAATGATTGTTAATGGGCAAGAGGTTTCTATTTGGGGTGACGAAATGTTCTCAAATTAGATTATGTTGATAGTACAACTCTTTAAGTATATTAGACACCATTTATGCTGTAAATGGGCAAATTTTATGGTTATAAATTCTATCTCAATAAAGCTGTTTAAAAGAACCACTGGATTTTCTTTTAATTCAATAATAGGTCACTTCAGTTAAAGTGCCACAATTTATTTTAAAGATAAGTCTACAAATCACTGTTAAATGATTTCGAACAAAAGTTATGTATTCTTTTTCTAAGATATAAATCACAGTTTTTAAATGAACTTTTACTATGGAATTATGAGAAAATATATTAACCTCACCATAAAATATATTTAAGGTGATTTGAATACATGAAATGTTACACATTTTTTAAAAAATAAAAGATTTAAGGGGCACCTGGGTGGCTCAGTTGGTTAAGTGTCCAACTTTGGCTCAGGTCATGATCTCACAGTGCGTGAGTTCGAGCCCTGCATCAGGCTCTGTGCTGACAGCTCAGAGCCTGGAGCCTGCTTTGGATTCTGTTTCCCTCTCTCTGCCCCTCCCCCACTCATACTCTGTCTCTCTCTCTCTCTCTCAAAAATAAATAAAATATTAAAAAAATTTTTTTAAAATAAAAGATTAAAAACACTTCAGAAAAAAAATTGAGAGTTCAGAAATTTTCCATGGATAGTCTCAAATTTCAAAGTAGTGTAAAGACCTTATGTTCTACATCTGTTACTAAAGGAATTAAAAAGGTTAGCATTTTAAGTGTTTTTTTTTTTTAGTTGCCTGATTACTGTTTATACTTAATTAAAATTTTCTTACCTTGAGCCCGTTCAAAATATGCAATTTTTAAACAAGATTTTAATGGACTTCAGGTGCACAGAATTGGACTAATCATTTTTCTAATTAGAAAATTAACATGATTCCGTTGACTTAACAAATATTTACTGAATGCATATGTGTGTGTGTATGAATACACACTACATTCTTGGTACTTGTCTATACCATATACCATGCATAATTTGTATCTTTTGGTCTTTATATTCTGAGTAAAGGCAATATGGTAAAGGGTAGATGAACTTAACTGGGAATTAAAAGTTCTGCATTTTAGGGGTGCCTGGGTGGCTCAGTCTGTTGAGCATCTGACTCTTAATTTTGGCTCAGGTCATGATCTCACGGATCATGGGATCAAGTCCAGAGTCAAGCTCTGCGCTGACAGCACAGAGCCTAATTGGGAGTCTCTCTCTCCTCTGTCTCTACCCCTCCCCCACACATGCTCTAATTCTCCCTCTCTCTCTCTCAAAATAAATAAACTTGAAAAGAAAAGTTCTGCATTTTAATTCAAATCAGCTCTGTGTGATTACGTGAGTCTCAGTTCTCCCAAGTTCTTTAGGGTTCCAGAAACCTAAGTGTATTTTCTCCACTTACATAAAACATTTTTCAAAGCAAAAATTTGTTTTCTAGTGATTTGTGTAGCTTCTAAAAAATTGCCTTTTTTTTTTAGTTGACTAAAGAAAGTCCTCAATGTGAGGAAGTAGAAGTTCTATTAAAGCTTAAGATCGCTTAGTTACCTGCAAGTAGTATACAGAGTTCAAAGATATTTCCTATTATGGAAAAAACCCTGTAATATCATACCTCAGTTATACCAAATTTGGGCATAACTGACTGGCAATTGGCTCTAGCCTTCTTCCCTAAACCAGTTCTCAGTTGTTGCCTAATGATTATAACTGGCTTATCTCAGCTCCATGTACACATAGTTGTGTCCTGTATAAGGGTCACCATCAATGTGTTTGCATTTTGTATCCATAAAAACTGTCTAGAAAGTTGGTTTTTCATTAGCTTCCCAGTACTTCTTCATTGTGTGTGGCATTGCACACCTCAGGGATCTTTGGAAAGACCCTGAGGGACTCTGATCCCTCAGCAAGCAGCCATCTCAGTAGTCAGGGAAATAGAGTTGCTGGATCTCAGCAGCATCTCTGACATTCCTACATATTTGTAAAATCTCTTAACTTCTTTTACTAGATTATCAGATGTTCAGTATCTGCAATTTAAGAGTTCAGTAATACCTTCAAGGTATTAGGTCTGTGGATCTGGCATCTTTAGATACCATTTTAAGGTTAACTCCATCTTTTCTGCTATTTTAATTTAGATTTTCCAGGCTGCTTCTTCATGTGTTAGTTCCTGGACTTAGTAAACACCCCTTGCCATTGGTCTGTGCTCCCTGTTTGCTCTCTATTTTCTCTTTCTCACTGCTTTTGTGGTGCTTTCTGTTCTCCCTCTTTTCTCCTACAGTCAGTGCTGCTCTAATGTGTCATTTGCATCCCTCAAAGTTCTGAGCTCTGCAAAACTGCACAATGCAAAACACAGGGCTTGTGGAAGAAAAGGGGTTTATGTCACAACTTTATCAATGGCATAAAACAAAGAGATAGAAAACCAATGAAAATTGTAGCACCGTTTTACACGTTAAATAGTCAAGAATTGCATAAATACTGTAAATATGACTCTTGGACTTAAGACCTGAATTTTGCTTGCAGAAATGGATGTCAGATGGGTTTGGGGGTTTGTGCATTACTGTGAAGTGATGAAAGTGGGGTATCTGATATCAGACAGAAAATTGTAACACGATGGGGGTGGTGTGACTCAAAGCCTGAGATACACTGAGGCGATGTTAGATGTCTGAGGAGCGTGCACGAGTTCATTTTGTGTGTTCCTACAGCTCAGTTCAGCTGGGTATGGGATTCTGTGTTTAACCAGTGATTCTCAGGAAGGAAGTCGCGCATAAGAAAACACAAAATTTAGAGCACAGCATAACATATAGAACCGTTGGATCATTATGTTGTGCACCTAAAACTGATGGAACATTGTAGGTCAGCTCGACTTCAATATATTGAAAAAAGGAAAACGCAAAATTTATGTAACATTCAAATAGTTTCTTCATGTGTCTATTGTATTAACACAGATTCATGTTTTCCAAACAAGCACTGTACTAAAATTAACGGTACTTTCTTTGCTTTTTCTCATTTTCTCATTCTTTTTTCATGTTTATCTTTTTTAATTTGGGTTTTAACTTGGGCAAATTTAATTTGCCCTTTTAATTTGAGCATCTGTTATTTGCATTTATGTTAAGGCAAAGTGCATCATCATTTTCTTATTTCAGCCTGGCTGTGCCCTTTTTCTTTTAGTGCTATTTCTCCAGTTGTGGCCCTGTCTCCACCACAGAACTTCTCCAGTACAGTTAGGCTGTAGGACACGCTTCTGAAGACATGGGTCACCCTGGTTTCTAAGCAGTAAGGGGAGAAATCAGTCTCAAAGTATTTAATCCTTTTAAGCCTCCTTCCTGTGGGTTGTGTGCATTCATGACTTTTATGTTCTTAACAATATAGAAATCAAGGCTTTTTTTATGCTATACCTTTATTCTAGCTAGGTCACATTCATGCCAGGAATAACCTTCATTAAAAGAAAAATGTGTGTAAGTTCTTTCTCTGAGAGTCACTGAAAATGAAACTTGCAAATGCACCAGGATCTTGAATAAAAATAGAAAATATGGAGCACCTCAGTGGCTCAGTTAGTTAAGCATCCGACTCTTGATTTCGACTCAGGTCATGATCTCATGGTCCTGAGATCGAGCCCCTTGTTGGGCTCTGTGCTGGGAAGAGAGCTTGTTTAAGATTCTTTCTCCAATTTGACAATAAATTTCATATATTGAAAAAAAAAAGATTCTTTCTCTCCCAGGATGCCTGAGTGGCTCAGTCAGGAGCATCCAGCTCCTGAGTTTGGCTTGGATCATAATCTCACATTTCATGATATCGAGCCCCATGTCAGGCTCTGCGCTGAAAACACAGGGCCTAGTTGGGATTCTCTCTCTCCCTTTCTCACCTTCTCTCCCTCTCTCTCTGCCCCTCCCTTGCTCTCTGTCTCTCAAAATAAAAAACTTTAAAAAAATTTGCTCTTCCCCTCTGTGCCCCCCCCTGCTTGCATGATATCCCTCTCAAAAATAAATAAATAAATAAATAAATAAATAAATAAATAAATAAGTAAAAATATTACACAGTATCTGTGCTCCTTCTTATCATTTAATAATATGCTGCTTATATAAATATTGTTTACAGTAAGCTTTGGATATAATTGACAAAATAATAACTGCCATTTGTTAAATGTTTGGGATACACAAGTGTTTCATGCTAAGTTGCATCTGTTCAAGTGCATCTGTTAACGTGTTTGAAAATTACTGATCTACCTTTATATTTTAATGTCCATTAAGACTTTTCTCAAAAACTTAGTTTTTTTTCAAAATTAGTTAGGGTTCTTATTTCTCAGTGTGAAAGCTCCATCAGTTTCATTTCTTTAAGTTCATGGATTTTAAATTAAAGATGAAGAGAATCCTAAGTGCCATTTCTTGTTCTTTTCCTGCAGCGTTTGTCCAATGGTTCTATAGACTCAACTGATGAAACTAGCCAAATAGTCGAACTACAAGAATTGCTTGAAAAGCAAAACTATGAAATGGCTCAAATGAAGGAACGTTTAGCAGCACTCTCTTCCCGAGTGGGAGAGGTGGAACAGGAAGCAGAGACAGCAAGAAAGGATCTCATTAAAACAGAAGAAATGAACACTAAATATCAAAGGGACATTAGGGAGGTAAGTGATTCATAACGGTTTCAGTCTTTGCTTTCTGAATGCTGCTTCTGAGATGCTTTTTGCAAATCTCCCCTAATGGCATATAATCTTTACATCTATTCAGAAAGCCAAAATTTGGGATGCATGATATTAGTTATGAAACATGTCCACTAAGACAAAAATAGTTTATTTACTTATCAACCCTTTAAATATGTACGGAATTTCATATCAAGTCTCGGGTAGAGTAAAAACTTTCTATAGTTTTTAATGAATTTTTAAAAAATTTAAGCTGCTAATTTTAAATAGCTTTAGATGTGGGTATGAATAATGAAATTGCTACACTCTTAGCAAATGGGAATACTCAAAATCATTACTTTAAATTTTCCCCCTCTTATTTTGGTGTTGTGTCTGTGAGTGTGAATATATATTTGGGAATGTGTGCACCTTTCTTTCTCCATGTATTCGGTTCTTCTTAGATGTAACATCACTTCATCTGTTTAATAGAGTACTTGAAAGTTACTGCAAAAAATACGAGATTTTTTTTTGTAACACTGCCTAATCATCTTACCACCTAAGGTGAAATGTTTAGAACCTTTCACTTTCTCACTCTATTCAATTAAAAAGAAAATTATTCATAATTGTTAAAAAATTTATTTGGTGACCTTTCACCTTTTGTCATTTTTACATATTTGTTTAAATTACATATTTTATCTTATTTACATTTTTGTATATAATTAACTAATTGTTAACCGGAGTTGACTCCACTTTATGTATTCAATTATTTTTTTTCCTATTCCCTGTTGAGCCCATTTTACTTACTTTTGCCTCCAACATCCCCTTCTTTGATAAGAACAGATTGCTGACCTCCATGTTGTTGAACCCAGCACTGGATCCAATCATTACTCCCTGAAGTACGTCTTCAGTTGGGTCATAGTACCCTATACGCTTCTGATTTTCATCCGTCTTTACTTCCTGCCCTTATCTTGGGCTCCTTTATTTGCTCAATGTCTCCCTAGACTAGTAGTGTCTTCCCTTCTCAATCTACTTTCACTTCCCTGCTAAGTTCATGCAGTCTCATGGCTCCAAAAAACACCTACTGCCTTATGAATCCCAGTTTATATCTCCGGCTTATCCTGTGTCCTGTTTCCCAGTTGCCTGTAAAATTAACATATTCTCAAAATTAATATATTCAAGAGTGTTTTCCTGTTATTCTCCCACCCCCAAGGAACCAGAGTTTCTTGTCTTCTTACACAGCCCACCTGTCCTCAATGCCATTATTGTTCAGAACAGAAGCCTTGGAGCTGTCCTTGGTACCTGTTTCACTCACACACTGCATATGATTCAGCCATAAACCCATTATTTCCAACTTCAAAACTTATCAATAATGTGACCTCTTCTCACAATCTTTATGGCTCTTCCTTATTCCACACAACCACCATCTCTCTCTGAATTATTACAGTACTCTTGTGACTAGTCTTCCTTCCGCTTCAGTCTGTGCTCAACATAGCAACCTGAGTGACCTGTTACAATGTTAAGTCAGCTCAAGTTACCATTCTGCTTCAATGGCTACCTGTCCTGCTTACAGGAAAATCCAAGTCCTTACAGTGGTCTACGAGCCATGTACAATCTCCACTACCACCTTTCTGACTTCTGGGAACTCATCTCTTGCTGTTTCATTTTAGTCCACTCTGTTCAGTTAAGATGGATGGCCTCTTAAACTAGCCAGACCTATTCTATTGGGTTTTCTTTTCCCTCTTCCTTTTGCTCAAATGTTTTCTTCTCAGTGAAGTGTTCCCTAACCTTGTTATTTGCACATGTACACTCTTCCTCTTCTTTCATTTTCTTTGTTTTATCTCACAGTATTTACTGCCATCTGACACAATATATACTTTACCGATTTACCTGTTTGTCATATACCTCCCTTTCCCCTATACATAAAGATTCATAATGGCTGGGAGTTTTGTTTTGTTGTGTTTTGTTCACTTCTCTATTCTAATCACCAACACAACTATTGAGCTTATAATAGGCATTCAAGAAAACTTTGTTGAAAGAATGGATATTTATAGGTGTTTGATGTAAATGTCAAAAGGCACGGGTGAGATTAGAATGTGGGTTAGAACAATACCTACTATCTCAGAAAAAATGTAGATGATCCATGAAGTGGCAGGTTGCTCTGCTACCATGCAAATGATGATACTGTGCTCTCTACTTCTTTATATGAATTGATCGTTCAAAGACACGTCTGTCATTTTCACTCCTTAGCTGAAGGTTTGCCACTCTTCTATATCACTGTTAAGAAACACTACGATTTCTGGCTGTAAAGCTATTTGTTGAGGCCTTGCTTATCCTGGTTTCTTCATTCTCTTAGCCAGAGATTTAGCAATTTTCCTTTCATTTAGCACTCCTCTCTTGCTTCCTCTCTTCATGTTTATTTAATGCAGTGTCACAGGTAGAGCCCAGTATCTCCAGCTCCCCCTTTCTTATTGACTATGTAAAAATAATTCCTTAATTCTAATCGTCTTCAGGTGTAGGTGACAAAAAGCTAATTCAGATGGAAAATATCAATCATCTGATGCCAGGTGTTTTGTTTTTTTTTTAATGAGGAAATCTCTTCGAATAGGTAAGGTATTCTGCTTTCATGTGGAATTCTTTTAAAATGTAACTATTCTTGGGGCACCTGGGTAGCTCAGTCAGTTAAGCATCCAACTTCAGCTCAGGTCACGATCTTGCTGTTCACGGGTTCAAGCCATGTCGGACTCTCAGCTGACAGCTCAGAGCCTGGAGTCTGCTTTGGATTCTCTGTCTCCCTCTCTCTGCGCCCCCCCTCCACTTACTCTCTCTTTCTCTCTCTCTTTCAAAAATAAATAAACGTTAAAAATTTTTTAAAAAGTAAAATAAAATATAACGATTCTTGGGGCATCTGGATGGCTCAGTTGGTCGAGTGTCTGACTTTGGCTCAGGTTATAATCTCATAGCTTATGAGTTTGAGCCCCATGAGCTGACTGTTCAGAGCCTGGAGCCTGCTTCGGATTCTTTGTCTCCCTCTCTCTCTCTCTCTGCCCCTCCCCTGTTCACTGTCTCTCTCTCTCTCAAAATAAATAAAAACATTTTAAAAAATTTAAATATAGCTATTATCATCTCTAAAATTTTATGTAGTTATATTTTAGAAGAGATTCATGAAGAATATCTCTCATCATTCACCTCTAAAGGGAGGTTGCAAATACAGATGCTTCAAGAGCCAGTCAGGCAATATAAATATATGACACATTCGGCAGTAAAGGTATAACATAGGAAGCGCTAGAAATTAATGAGACTTGGGCAAGAAACCTATACACTGCCTGACTTTCTGTATACATCATATGTGCTGTGCGTGTGTGCACGCATGTGTGTTAAGAATACCATGAAAGGCCAAATAAAATGTTTCCAAAAAGGTCCGATTGCCAGAGGCCCTGGTTTACTTCTAGGAAATTCTTAAAGACCAACCATGAAAACTATTACAGGTGTATTATATTTAATTTGTCTAATTTCTTACATCTGTCCTATCCAGAAGGTACTCATCATTATGCCCATTTTTCTCAATTGAGGTAAAGTGACTTGTCAAAGGCATATGCACTGCCCTCCGAGCATTGCACTCCTTCCAAACCCTCAGCACCAGGAAGACACAGGATCAGCCCAGCTCCAAAACCTGTGCTTCTTCCACTATGAGCAACTTCTAAAATCAACAAAACAGAATCATTTACCAGTGATAGCAATGGCATAAAAAATGCAGCTGCACTGTAACCACCACTGAAATAATCTTGTGCTCTCTGTTTCCAATAAGAAGAAAACCATGGACTTTAAAAAGGTATCACTTACGCTCAAAACTCCAGCTTCCACTTTTATAATCCAGACTGTGGTCTGTGGACACACAAGGTCTACTAGATTGCAAGTATTTATAAGAGGAAAAAAACAGTGGGGGCACCTGGGTGGCTCGGTCGGTTAAGCTTCCGACTCTTGACTCTCAATATCAGCTTAGGTTGTGATCTTGTGGTTGTGGGATGGAGCCCCACCTAGGGCTCTGTGTTGAGTGTGGAGCCTGCTTGGGATTCTCTCTTTCTCTCTCTCTCTTTGCCCCTCCCACCATGTGCTCTGTCAACATAAATAAGTAAACTTTAAAAAAAGTGATTCTTCTTGCTACCCAATGTGTAACATTGCTAGCACAGTATGATTTATGTATTGTATTAGCACTACATATTTGTTGATTAAGGAAAAAAGGGGAGAGTAGGAAAAACCATATAATTAAAAGCTTCAATGCATTTTGCTTTATGTGTGAGGACTGTCTAGTATATCTAAAATGAATTATGTAAGTATATTTCATTAATGCTTTTAGAATATATTTTTGTCATTATTCCTCATCAATAAATAAATCTATTTAAAATTTACTTTTTTGATGACTATGAGATATACTTTATTTTTTATGATTTTTTTTCTTTTTCAAATTTTTATTTAGATTATCATTAGTTAACATATAATGCAATATTGGTTTTGGGAGTAGACTTCAGTAATTCATCACTTACATACAACACCCAGTGCTCATCATAACAAGTGCCCTCCTCAATACCCATCACCCATCTGGCCCATCTCCCACTCACCTCCCTCCATCTTCCCTCAGTTTTTTTCTCTGTCAATAAGAGTCTCCTATGGTTTGTTTCCCTCTCTTTTTATCCTCCCTTCCATATGTTCATCTATTTTGTTTCTTAAATTCCACATATGAGTGATATCGTATGGTATTTGTCTTTCTGAAATTTACTTTCTTTGAAGTTTTGTCTTAGTTGCTCCTTAAATTGACTGTGACCTATATGTAGTTGGGGGCTGGAGTAAAGCAAAGAACAGTACACATATTAAAAACATAGACAATCTTATAACATGCTTAGCTCTCCACTTTATAATTAAGAAAGCTACTAATTGGGGAGTGCCTAGGTGACTCAGTCAGTTACGTGTATGATCTTGGTTTCGGCTCAGGTCATGATCTCACGGTTCATGAGTTTGAACCCCTAATTGGTTCTGCACTGACAGTGCAGAGCCTGCTTGGGTTTCTCTCTCCCTCTCTCTGCCTCTCTGTCACTTGTACTTTGTCTCTGTCTCTCTCTCAAATAAATAAATAAATAAACTTAAAAAAAAAGCTACTAATGGAGTATTGAATAATACTTTATTAAATATTATGCAAAATATGCAAATATTATGCAAATTTTGATGTGCAAAGAATTAGAATTTTTCTTTAAATGTTTATTTTTGAGAGAGAGAGGGACAGAGTGTGAGTGGGGGAGGGACACAGAGAGAGGGAGACACAGAATCTGAAGCAGGCTCCAGTCTCTGAGCTATCAGCACAGAGCCTGATGCAGGGCTCGAACTCACGTACCATAAGATCATGACCTGAGCCATAGTCGGATGCTCAACTGACTGAGCCGCCATAGTTGGATGCTCAACTGACTGAGCCACCCCAACAAAGAATTAGAATTTAAATTCTATATTGTTTTGTGAATAAAACCAGCTTATCTTTCTAACTTCCTATTAAGAGTTCTTCAAAAATTCCTAAGTAATTAAATGAATACATATCAGTTTTGTCTTTTCCATTATCTGAAACATGGAGTTTTATTTTTTAGTTTACTATGTCTGAGTTACTATAGAGTTATATTTATTTGCTATAATAAAGTCTATTTTGTAAACAAACCATAGGTCAAGAGATAATTGAATCTTTAAATTCTTTTCCTCTTTCTTTAGGGAACAGTTTTTAGAGACTAGAAAAAGCTTCCCATTTTAGAATTTCTAAGTGACACACAGGGAAAAGATATTTCTCCAACTTGTAAATTCAAAATTTATTTTTGGCAACACAGCTTGCAGTTAAAAATTGAATCTCCCACATGAATCACTGAATCAAAAATGCAGTACCAAAGTCTGTACAGTGACTCCTGCATGCAATGTATGCCATAGAGTCAGATCAGCTAATTATAGGCACAATAGTAAGTAATAATCAAGAAGCTATTATTTATGGAGTGTGTATTATGCATAAGACTACACAAGGCACTTAAAATACTGTATCACAACAATGTTATATGGTAGATACTAGTATCCCAACCTAAAACAGAAAACAAAATAGACAAGCAAGCAGAGAAACCAAAAAACAAAAGAAAAGAGTATGAGTTATAGAAAAGGTAATCAGCATTCACCCATGATAACTGAGTTAATAAGTAGCAAAAACTGGGATTTGGAGTTAGTAAGTGTTACTCCAATGCTCATGTTGTCAAGAAACATGTATATGTCTTTAACTGAGTTTATCGCTATTATAATTTTATAAGAAGTTATATATGTAGGCTAGATTCAGAATTCTCTTTTTTGGTTACAAAATTGACACAATATTCCCAGAGTTCTATATGAAAATGAAATTAACAGTATACAGTTTAACAATACATAATTTTTCAAAGACAAATAATGTCAAGAGGGTACACATCTAAATACATGCGCACGCACACACACACACACACATACACACACAGAGTGCCCACCTACTTTCCATCTCACTTGCCTGAGATTCTTAATTTCAATCCTTTCGCTGTTAGTTGTGCTATTTTCTCTCTTATTTAATCGATGCCTTGCTATTATATGAGGATTTTAGTTCTTTTAAGTTTACTTATTTATTTTGAGAGAGACAGAGAGTGTGCAAGTGGGGGAGGGGCAGAGAAAGAGGGAGAATCTCAGAAGGCTCCACACTGTCAGCACAGAGCCCAATGCGGGGCTCAAACTCACAAACCTTGAGATCATGACCTGAGCCAAAATCAAGAGTCTGATGCTTAACCCAGTGAGTCACCCAGGCACCCAGAGGATTTTAGCTTTTTTATTCTCTACTTTTCTCTCCCAATCATCCTTCCACTACAATTACCCCCAAATCACATTTAGTGTCACCATTATTATGGCTGTGTAGATCATTTCCACAACTGATCCAAGTAGTAATTTCCTATGATAGCATTTCCTTTTGTTGTACAGCTTTTTGCTTTTCCAGGATTTTATTAATTACTTGATACATTTATTTCCTTGCTTGTTTTTAAAATGGTGGTGTATCTTCGCAGCCGCTCCAACAGAGTAGTAAAATTGCATAATTTCAATTCAGTTATGGTCAGTGATCAAGCAGATAATTTATCATTCTTATTTTTATTTTCTTTAAATCATTCCTTTTTCCTCTTCCCTCCACGTCTCATCTGTACAAGCTTATTTGTAGGCCTGCTTCATTGTTTTAGCTGTAGTTGTGGGATTTACTTCTTCTATCATCTTGAAAATCCAGGACAGAAAAGTGATCAAGGTCCCTAAAGCAGAAGAGGCATAAAAACTAGAGCACAGATAATGATTAAAACTTTGAGAGAAGGCAAACACCTGTTGTAAAAGTAAAAGCTAGAAGTTAAGGATTCGTGCATATGGTTATTTCCAGGTGGTGATGAGGGAAAATCGGGAAATGAAGGACTATTCATTTAAGGACTTCTATTTCTTTTGGAAAAAAATGGAAGAAAATGTATCTGCTCTGTGCATGTGGCAGGACTGGCTCCAGATCCTGAAGGAGAGGACCAGAAGGGCTGCTTAGGAACATTGACCAAAGGAATTTGGATAGCAACATATGGAAACCACCACTACCAACTCAATTTTAGGCTCCTTACGCAAAGGGCCTCCCCACATTATCAGGAAACCGCCACAGGCCCATGAGGCTTGCTTCTGCAGCTGACTTTTCTTAATATCTTTTTTTAAAAAGTAGGTTATCCACCTACTAGTAAATGTTCATGTAAGCTGTTAGGAAGATAAAATCATCTCCATATTATCTATGAATTAGGTGGTTTAAAAATTATAGTTGAGAATAATATTAATGCCATGGTTATTACATTCACACTGATAGCTGATTTTTCCATAGAGTTGTGTATTCTTTGAGTTTTCTAAATTCTTGGGGCACCTGGGTGGCTCAGTCAGTTACGCACCCAACTTCAGCTCAGGTCAAGATCTCACAATTCATGAGTTCAAGCCTCGCATCGGGCTCTGTGCTGACAGCTCAGAGCCTGGAGCCTGCTTCTGATTCTGTGTCTCCCTCTCTCTCTGCCCCTCCCCCCTTGTGCTCTGTCTCTCTCTCAAAAATAAATAAAAACATTAAAAAAATCTTTTTTTAATTGGAATATATGTAACAAGGAAAATGGTTAAGTTCCCAAGTCAATTGGTCAATTCATTTGTGAATATGACTCTAATTTACTTCTCTGGGCCCTCCTTTTTTTTTACAAATGTTTATTCATTTTTGAGAGAGAGAGAGCGTGAGTGGGGGAGGAGCAGAGGAGGAGGGGACAGAGGATCCAAAGCGGGCTCTGTGCTGACAGCAGCAAGCCTGATGCGGGCTCAGACTCACTAACCTTGAGATCATGACCTGAGCTGAAGTCATACACTCAACCTACTGAGCCACAGAGGCACCCCTGGCCTCCTATTTTAAACACTGGGTTACTCTTACTTATATATGTAGATGAGGATACTGGTGATATTGGTTATCCTTATTTGAAGATTGATTTGCAGTTTGGAATGGTAGCCACCATTTTACTGATTTTATGGTTTACAACTGTACCCATAATTGTACTTATCTCTACTGTATAATGAGCTAATTTATCTGCCACTTCTTTTCTAATGCCAGTTCTACAGTAGGCAGTTTCTTGTACTCCATTCCATTCTCAGAGAGAGGAATTTTTTGTTAACCCAAGATGTAAAAAGAATTCTGACAGGTAAATTGGGAAAATTCACATGAAATTTGGCATGCTTTCCATAAAAAGAAAGGAATGAATATTGCTTCAAGAAAACGGTAGCCTTTGTATCTTACTATTTTATTTAAATAACAAGACAATACAGTAAACTATGTGAAAATCTGATTTTAATTAATTTATTATTTTAATTGTAGGCCATGGCACAGAAGGAAGATATGGAAGAAAGAATCACAACCCTTGAGAAACGTTACCTCAGTGCTCAGAGAGAATCTACCTCCATACATGACATGAATGATAAATTAGAAAATGAGTTAGCAAATAAAGAGGCCATCCTACGACAGGTTGAGTATCTTATCTTGGTTTTGTTCTCGTCCATGTGTGCTCTCACCATTCTAACAAAATACGGAGTAAATAAAATACAGTATTTCTTGGCATTCAACTGTTCTCTAAAATTTAGAATGGAACTGACTCAACAGATGTGATTTCTAGCATGTAATTCACAAATATGTCTTAATAATAATAAAAATAATTACTAATATTTACTTTGGGTCTAGACATGAAACAGACACTGCTAAGCAGTTAACAATTACCTCACTTAAATCTAACCACCACCTGTGAAGTAAGCACAATTATTATACCGAGGCATCAAGGTTCAGAGACATAAAAACTTTATCAATGTCACACATCTGGAAAATGCCAGTTCTTAATGGAAGCCCAAGTCTGTTTGGCTCCAGAGCAGAGTCTATTTGGCTCCAGAATTCCATGTTTGGACAAACTATGGCCCATGTGCCAAAACTATAACTGTTTTATAAATAAAGTTTTATTGAAACATAGCCATACTCATTTATTTAATCATTTTCTATGACTGTTTTTGTGCTACAACAGTAGAACTGAATAGTTGGAACAGAGACTAAATGATACACAAAATCTGAAATATTTATTATCTGGCCCTTCAGAGAAAAAAGTTCTGTTAACCCTATCTCTAGAGCTTGGGCTGTTAGTCATTGTGCTACATTTCATCTCTCACTCCAGTTAATACTATAATTTTCAATAATATGCTCTCATGGTACGTCTGAAACCTTAGCGTTGAGTTATACTGCACATGTCCACATTTATATTCACTAGTAATTTTTATTTCTTTTTGTTGCCATTGGTAAGAGCTTTTCTATTTTTTTAATGTGCTGAATTTTATTAAGGAATGTGAGTAAGTAACATATAAAAACATGAGTACAGTCATCTCTTTGCACAGTAAGTGTGGTTGATTTTAAATCTAGAATAATGGCAGAAACCCTAGTGTCTGGTGTTAGTTATCCTTACTGGGACTCTTTAAGTGTCTCTTTTTCCATCCCTGTTTCAGATGGAAGAGAAGAACAGGCAGTTACAAGAGCGTCTTGAGCTGGCTGAGCAAAAGTTGCAGCAGACTATGAGGAAAGCTGAGACCTTACCTGAAGTAGAGGCTGAACTGGCTCAGAGAATTGCAGCTCTGACAAAGGTATTGACAAAAAAAATTAGTCAGTCTAGATACACTCATAGAAAGGAGTAGTGATCCAAATGGAATCTATAGATTGTCTTTAGGTTTCATGAAATTTAAGTTTATTTCGTCTTTATTATACTGGTTTGTTGCTTAGATGAGTTTTTCATATTATAGATCTTATTTATGCTGACATGAATGATTTACATATGAATGTGATGATACCTTTGCCTGTGTAAACGTTAGCAAAAACAAAATTTTGTATCCTGATGGTTGATTTTCCATGATAATATTTGAACATTAGAATAATCACTGAATATAAACAAATAATGATGAAATTTAATATGTATATAGATAAGTTGCAATAACTTAATAGCCTTAACAGAAGTTGTTTGGTATTAAAAATGTAGGAAATATCATAAGCGGTTCCTTTCTGACTATATATGAAAACATTTGTTAGCAGTTGGAAGTTAGATTTGCAAAAGTCTAAATTCTAAAGTTACTAAATAGAAAGTGGTTTTAATAGTTACAGTTTCTTCTGAACCAATTAAATTCAATAATAATCTGAGGAATATTCAAAATTATCTGCTATGTTATGGCTGTCAAATTCTACAATTATACACATATTGTAAATTTTGCAACCATTATAATGTTAAAAATGACTTATCATTCACAGTGAAATGGAAAGGACAGTGCTTCAAAGTGTATATGTACAACAAAACTTCAGCTTTGCTCACTAAAGGCATGTTTTACTTTTAATATCAGTTCAAAAATGTACAAACATTTTAGATATTCATGCAATCATTGCTCAGTGCTACATTTTCCATGCACCTAATAAATGGGTAAGACAGATATATGAACTACAGGTTACAAATTCTGGCATTAGGACTATCCAAAACAGTCAATACAGCAATACAAAAGTAGGCACACACATTTGCTTTCCCAAAAAAGTAAATAATTAAAGAGGAAAAGTAGACTGATGCCTATTGGTTAAAATAAGATAATTAGTCAGGTAGTGAAAAGACAAATATTTGCAAAGTAGAGCAGGGTTAGAAAGTTTTGGAATAATTGCTTGTCTACAGAGTATTGGAATAACCAGCTGAATAAAACATTAGTGTGATTAGGATAATGTCACAATCTGGATCCTTCTATAGTCATAGACATACCATAAACCCTTCTGGCAATTTTAGAAATGTGTGCTTTCTCAAATAAAGATAAATTTATCATTTGATTTGGGAAATAATCTCTAAATTATATAAAAATGTGCAAATATAGTGGTAATATTCTATTTTTTCTTGCAAACACATTTAAAATTAATCAAATATGGATAAGGGTGTGTGTGTGTGTGTGTGTGCACGTATACACACACACACACACACACACACACACACACACACACACACACACACTAAGGCTCTTCATTTGAAGAACATGAACTTATATAGAGTTATTGAACTGAACTATTTTCTGGAGCTTTAAGTGAGTGACTAAATAATAAAAATAATTTTGTAAAACTTTAGTGTAAAATAATCAATACTATCCTGAGTAAAATACGAGAAAGTCTGGAATCTCTTCCAAAGTAATACAATTTAAAATTCACCAAATAATTGCTCCTAATTAACTTCTGATGGACTGAGGACAAAACATACTTTAAAATATAATACTTGACTTACGAGGCTTCAAAGTATATATCCGTAAGCATCCTTAATTTAGAATATAAAAAAATAATTTGAAATAGGTGTCTTATCTTTGTTCCCCTCATTTTTTCTCTGGGGCTCTTACTTGTTTTTGATACATACTTTCATTCATGTACCCAAAATAATTTCTTCAGTTTACATCTAACTAATAATATATTGCTAAAATTTCACTTCATCTGAATCCTTTTGATTTCCTCCTTTTTCAGTAGAGTTTCATCTTTCTTAAGAAGTGTTAAAAATGCTAGAGTTCACTGTGTTTCTCTTTTTTACTGCTTTCTCTTCAGGCTGACTTTATATCAACACCATTATTTCAACTACAGAGTTTCTAGATTATTGCCATTTTTAATATACACTTGTCTAGAGAAGAGGTTTTATCCTCAGCACACTCCCTATGCTTGTAACATTTTTTATAACTTTTGAAGATGCTCTTTCATTTGTTTTCCCAAGTTTTATGGCTACAATGATCTTGTACTTTTTCTTCTCCTCTGTTCAGACACTTTTAGGGACTATCACTAGAACCAGTTTTATTTATATATTTTTATCACTTCCATATTTTCAGTATCTCACTGTTATTGATCATCATAATCTTTTTCTACTTCTTACTATTTTTGATACTAAAGTAAAAAGATTTCTGCTTAGCTTAAACCTAGGCTTCCCTCTCCTATATTATGAATGGCATTCTAAATAATGTTTCAGGCATTTTATTTGGCCTATATATTTTTTTCTGCTTTTATTATCTGCTACCTATTGTTTTCTTCTCTTTGCCCCACCCCAACTGACTTTTATTTCTTCCCCATTTCAAAATCTACTCATGTTTTTCTCAAAGCCATTTCTGCCTATAATTTCCTCTAAACTGTAGCTCATTTGAAATTTTCCTATGTCATATTAAAGAGTGAAATGAAGATAAGCCCTGTATCCCATCAGGGAGTACAAAAAATAGATTGTTTTTGTGTGACTTTTGTATTTACACTAATTACTTAAACTACAGTCTTCACAAGGCTAAGATGAACATAAATCAATACTATTGAAATTGATCCCAGTTTTTGTTTAGAAATGATGTCTGAATCTATTCTGTGGTTGATAAGATGTGTGTGTGTGTGTGTGTGTGTGTGTGTGTGTGTGTGTGTGTGTGTAGATAGGTAAGGAAAGCTCATTTAAGGCTTTAGAAAGTCAGAAATATTGAGGAGTGGCTACAGATAAATGTTAACATTGGCTATAGCAAGTATACACAAAATTATCCAATAAAGACTTTGGGATCCCAATTTTATGATTTATTATGTTTACTTCTTTAATTAAAGTGCATATTCCCTCAGCAAGGACATAATTCGTATTGAATTCCATAAGGTATTTCATTCATTTTAGTACCAGTAAAACATATCAACAATAACAAAGTAATTTAAACTTGACAGAATTCTTGCTCAATCTTTAAGTGAATTTTTACAATGTTTAGTATGTTTTCAATAGTTAAGATGGAAAGAGGTAGAAGTTTTAAAGACCTTTGGGAAGACCTACTGGGCTTGTGTTTTTAAAGAGACAGCTTTGGAAATTGAAATGTTCATGCTTTGACTACCTTGAATCAGTCACCTGATTAATTTTTACACCACCAACTGCATGTTAAAATGTACTTTTGAGAGATTACAGATATCTTAATGAATTTAGATGATATCATTTCAACAACATTTTGACCCATTTACTATATTCCTATTTGAATTCTAGGTTTTAAGTGATATTAGAAAACCATTTTGTGACATTTGGGAACTATGGTAGCTTTCTGTGTTTCTTCTGCTTGGAAATTTGAGGAGAGAAATTGGTTATTTGTTATTTCTTCATTATTTTCCCCATTTATGAAACAAGAATCTCAAAAGGAAAATCTTACAAATGTAAATATTGAGTTGTAATCTATATAAGTACACCAGTTAAACGTTAAATGTTTATTTTATAGATTAGTTGGAATTTGTTGCATAAAATAGTACATATGTGTGTGAGCCAATACATGAATAGGCTACTATTTCTTTTCAGGTACTGCATGACATATTTATATATAGTCCTATATTTGCATAAAGTAAGTTTCACTGTTTTAGAATAAACTTAGAGAATGTAATGGAATATGCTCTGAAGTTAAATCTTATAGATCTAACATAGAACAATTTTGATGTTATATATACTTGTAATTATGATCAAAATGTTGATTTAACTTTACATGTAATCTGTGCATAACATACTAATACAATTCAGCTATCAGCAATGTCACATGTGTTAACACTCTGTGTCTGTGATAACCGGACAATCACCTCCAAGACATGTAACGAATCCTGGCACTGGGCAAATATTAGCTGACAAAGGCACCATGCTGCCTGTTCACTTTAGGGCGCTATTTTGTTTCCATGGCAACAAATCAATGTAGAAACAGTTTCTGAGTGGTTCCTAGTGTCATTCAGGAGACTTTGTAAGTAAATATTCTTGTCCTCACAATATATCGTCACCTTGATAATTTGAGGACTTCTAATCGCTTTCATTTACAATGTCAAATTAAGACTACATCTGAGAATAGGTGCCAGGGTACTAGACCAGGTACTACACACTTGTATTCAGAGACCAGAAGTCAGTTTGTCAGCTCGTCCCTGTTGCTGAGGAAACTCAACCCTGGAATTGGAGAATACCCATAATAATTAATCCTGTGGCTTAGTTTGTCTTGATGTCTACAGTGTTAGGTTTGTAATAAATTTTTTTCCAAATTTATTTCACCTGGGTCGTTGTCCTAGCATACACTTCAACGCTGAGACACACAGTTTGCATTATTTTTTTAGTAATATGATAAACAAACCAAAATACAAAACATTTAACAATCTATCAGAGACATATTCTAGTGTTTGGTTTCCCATAATTCCAACTATTACATGACTCTTTCAGAGTTGCTTTAATTCATTCTGTAGTAGTCTTTCATCGCCAGCCGTCACTAACCTTCCATACCTTAGGTTGGTAGCTTTTTATTTGGGCGTATCATTGTTTTTCATTTATAACCATTGACTGCATCGTGTTCACCAGATATCAGTGTAGTTCTTTCCATGTAAAATTCTGTCTATTAAAGTACTAAATTTGCTGTCACATTTTTCTTTTAAGCATTCTGTGCTATGTTCTGTTCAGTGTCAGTGTCTTTAGTTCTGATTTTTCAATTTTGTCCCTCTCCTTTTCCTTGACTTGTTAGTCTGATCCAACCTCTTCTACCTCATCTGATGATTATCAATATGTTATGGAAGCTAAACTACAAGAAATGATCTCCATACGTAGGAAGGTAGTCCTACTGGACTTTACTTTCTATTGCTAAATAGAATCCATCTAAGTTTTTCTTTTCATTTATAAAAATTATGTTATTTTTATTTATTGATAATCAACCATCTGTGCAGTTCAGTGCTTCAGGAGCTTAAGATTGGACAATGGCAGGTTTGTGTTCAAACCATGCACAGTCTGCATGTTACATTTGGCTGATTTCATTGCTCATAAATAAGTCCAATGTTTTGCTGATGCTTGGATGTAACAGGCCTTTGTAGCTGACACATTTCAAGCAATGCTGTTCAGCTGCCTGTTTAAAAAAAGTTTATTTTTTGAAAATTACATTTGCGGTTGGTAGTAGCTTGCTTTACATTTTATTTCAATTTATTTAGAGGTACAGTGTTAATCAAATCTTACATGTCAGGTACATATTTCATATTTCTTAACAGGCTGAAGAGAGACATGGAAACATTGAAGAACGCATGAGACATCTAGAAGGTCAACTTGAAGAGAAAAATCAAGAACTTCAAAGAGTATGTATATTAAGAACCACTCCCCTCAATCATCAGTCTATGGGCATGTAAGAAATGAATGTCTTTCTTGAAGATAGGTTATATTTAAAATCTTATGAATATGCTCTGTGCATTTTAAAGGAAAAAAGAAAAGGTTCTGCCAATTTAATCACACCAGACAGAAAATGGAATCCAATTTTAAACTAGAAAAATATAAAAACAAACCCAGTGCTTTTTAAATGATTGTTATGTCAAGTTTATTTATTTTTTCTTGAATATAAGGCTAGGCAAAGAGAGAAAATGAATGAGGAGCACAACAAGAGATTATCTGATACGGTGGACAGACTTCTGACTGAATCTAATGAACGCTTACAACTACATTTAAAGGAAAGAATGGCTGCCCTAGAGGAGAAGGTAAAATGACAGAAGAGTAGAATCACATGAATATTTATCAATGTTCTTAAGAGCATGGTTGTTTTATACCCTGCTGTAATTATTGTATTGGTCGGATGATCCATTTATTTTCCTTAAGTATATATGACATAGTCTTAGAAGTGAACGAGTAGTTTCTGTAAAAATGTGTAAGATAAATTTTTAAATGAGTAAAAGTGCTGCATGGTATGTAAATCTTGCATATTCTCATGATCATATAGATAAATGTATTAAAATGTATTTTGTGGTGAAAATACTTAGTTATTCTTCACCTGGTGTGCAAAAAAAGAGCAGTGAGACAAATATCAATTATTTTGGGGATGTCTTGCATTGAACTATTCACATGTTTCGAGTAACTAAATCTACTGCTTCTCTAAAAGCCAAAATGAGTAACTGAATTTATATTACCAATAGAACTAATCCTACTACAGTTTAGGAACGCAATAATTTCAGCTGCATCATTTCCAAAAATTGCCTCTTTACAGTGTGCAATGTCATTCACAATGCTATGTGTCTTGTTGATAGTTGGCAACTACCACACCAGCACGAGTTACATGAGCTGGTTGCCGATTTCAGAGCAGATACAAAGGTAGGGGCTAAAACCCAGGTGGACAAATCATTTTGGAAATTGAGAATGAATGCCAGTCACTACTTAAGCTAGACATTTTCCCCTGACCCAGACAATAAACCAAAATAGAAAAAAATACTCCCCTGAAATTGTTAAAGTAGACTGGCTGACTTTCATTACAAAGTGATAACCTTCTTCCCATTCAACTCCAAATGCATGGCCACTTTACCAATCACTACACTCTTAGTTTAGTTTTACTAAAATTAAATTTGAAAAAATACATTTTTAAAAATCATGCTTTGTGGTAATATAAAAAAGCATAAAGCTTTTACGATAGTAATCACTTCATGACAAAATTTTAAAAATAATTTCTATGATGCAGCTTATTTCTACATGTCATGAGATGTAACAGTTTTGTAAATAGCTAAAATTTCATTTATATTGCTCTAATGATTTAACCTTTATTGGAAATTATTTATTCTGTATTTGAAATAGAAGGCCAGAAATTAAACTTTCCAGAAATAGGATCTGATAATTTATTTTTTTCCTCAGATGATAAAAATGAGTTCATCTGAATCCTTTATCTGTAATACCTTTGGCTAATATTGAGTTTATTACTCACATTTTCTCATTTTAAAAGTAACCTAATTATTTCAAATTTTAAAACACTGAGAAGAAGAAAATATAGCTTAGAAGATAATATTTATTCCATTTGCCAGTCCAAGTGTTACAAAATAACATTTCCCATTTAAATTATGTATTTTTCTAAATGTTAAGGTATTATGTTTAAAGATTCTATTTAAATGTGGTTTCCATGGAAACCAAGAAATAGATGCACCAAGGAAGGAATCAAAGAGAAGGAATCAAAGAAGATTCTTGAGCAATAAAACATTAATCTACATATTCAATTATTTTCTCTTTAGTTAATTATTTTTCTTTCTTTTCTTTAGAATGTTTTAATTCAAGAATCAGAAACTTTCAGAAAGAATCTGGAAGAATCTTTACATGACAAGGTATAATGGAAACTTACATTTTACCCATTTTTCTATTTTAGACTGACAAATGTGTTATTGTAAAATAAATTTGATAAGAAATAAATTTAGGATGCTACCTTTTTAAAACAATTTTAACTTTTGTATTATACGTCCAGAAAAGTGTACATATCTAGAGAGCTTGATAAATTTTTGCAAACCAAACACACTGAAAATCAAGTCTTGTAGCCCCCTTCTTGTTCAAATACAATTACTACTCTTATCCTAAACTATAATCACTGTCTTATTTCTAAAAAAAAAAAAAAAAAAAAAAAAAATGCTTTTGACTTTTTGTGCTTTACACAAGTGGAGTAAACTAATTTGTATTTAGTTTGAGATATCATTTAAGCAGATATGTATTAAATATCATGCACAGTGATTGTGCTGAATTATGTTTGCTACATGATCCTGGTTCCAAAGTAGCTGAAAAATGTAATTGAGAGAGAACAGACCTTTGACAAAGCAGCAAGTTGCAGAGGAACAGATGCCAAGTGTCGAAGGAGTGAAATATGTAGTAAGAGCTACAGGTAGGAGAGACTACCATATAGTGCTGCTATAAATAAGGCTTCAGGGAGGTGTCACTTGACAAAGCTCTATGGAAAGGGAAGAATACGTTACAAGCCTTTCAAATACAGTGCATGTGGCATGATTGCCAGTGCTTTGTGTGAGGCAGGAGTGATAGGGAGTTTCATTTCTTAAATAATGATGGGCATAACCTGGGGCACGTGGGTAGCTCAGTCAGTTAAGCGTCCGACTTGATTTCTGTTTAGGTCATGACCCCAGAGTTATGGGATCAAGCCCTGCATTGGGATCAGGGCCTGCTTCAGATTCTCTTTCTCTCCCTGTGCCCCTCCCCCTGCTCTCTCTCTCTCTCTAAAATAAAATTTTCTTATTTTTTTAAAAAAATAATAGCATAACATTTGGCTGGAATCAGTTATTCCTGTTATAGGACATATTATATAAGAGGCAGTTAAGGACCAAATTATGAAATGTTAAAAGCTGTAATTGCTAATATATCTTCTCCTTCTTCATTAGCCTATATATTTTTTAAGTCTATTAGTTATTTTGAAAGAGAGAGAGCATGAGAGCAGGGGCGGGGCAGAGAGAGGACAGAGAGAATCCCAAGCAGGCTCCATGCCATCAGTACAGAGCCCGATGGAGGGCTCGATCCCAACAACTATGAGATCATGACTTGAGCCAAAATCAAGAGTCAGACACTTAACTGACTGAGCCACCCAGGTGCCCCACCTATAAATTTTTGTTAGCAATTTTGTCTGATTTCATTTTGTTTAGCACAGGAAAATAATGTAATATAAAATTATTGACTTAAAAAGTGACCTACAAATGTGTGTGGAACAAAAGAGAAGAGAGAGAGAGAAGAAGCAAGGGACAGAAGAGACGGAGGGAGAGGAGGGAATATCTGGGAACAGTATGGCATATGGAAAGTATTGGAAAAGATGAGAGAAGAAAGATTTAAAAAAAAAGGAAAACTGTACATTTAGCCCCACTAAATTGTACATATTATGATGTTAATTTAAAACTATGTGGCCCCACAGTCAGCGTATATATGATCTGAAAGATAGATCTCTCTGTGGCAATACAATATGGTCCCTAGAAGATAGCATCTAATTCTTTCTGAAGTAGCTTTAAAAAAAGTCTACAGAGTGGAGATGCCATTTCATCAGGCTCTTGAAGGCACAAAAGATCTTGCCAAATAGGCAAGGGTAGGGCAGAGGACAGAGCCTATGTGAGAGCACAGAGAAAACAAAGATGGTTGATTTGCTGATTTACCAGAAGTTTGCTGTGACTGGTATGTGTTTAAAGAACTAGGTTGCGCCCAGATTGTGGATTTTGGACTTGATCCTATTATGCAATGTTATGTTTTCCAAAGCTCTGTGTGCTCCTGGCAAGATCCCCAGAACCCACTCCCCCACCACCTACCCAAACCTTGTAGCTTCAACAATCTGCCTAAGCAACTAACAGTACTAATCACTCCATGCTTTGCACCCTTGTTCACGCCAGTAATTAGAGGAAGCAAATCCCAGGTCATACCTCATTTCTGAATATCATCCCACACAGCTAAACATATTTCCTAATCTAACCACATCTCCTATAACTTCTGAAATTTCCACTCAGTTCTCTGTAACTGACAGTCATTCATTAGCCAAATCTCCTGTGTACTCAACCTCTTCTTGTTTCTCATCATCTTGATCTCTAAAATTTGAAATTCCTAGGACTGGTTTTGAATTTCTTCTCATGTTCACTCATTGAGTTGAGGCTCTTCTGATCTCATGGATTTAAAACCATCTATAAATTGAGTACCTCCAAATTTAGATCACCGACTGGGTCCTCTCTCCTGAGAGAGTTCATGTATTTAAGAGCCAACTCAATATCTCTATTTGGACACTTGGGCAACTCAAATGTTCACAGGTTCAATCCCCCCACCCCCAAAACCAGCACCACCAACCTCAACCACCGCTAGCAGTAGTCCTCTCAGTAAATTACAACTTCTCCTCTTAGCCAGGTTAACCTTGGAGTTATTCTTGACCCCTTTATCTCACACTCCACATTCAGTCCAATAGCAAATTCAGTTAGTTCTGTCTTCAAGATATAACCCAAATCCATCCAGTCTCTTTCTAACACTGCTGTTGTCCAAGCCACAATTTTCTTGCCTATGTTTTTGGAAAGACAGTAATAATTATCTTTCTTCCCTCCCTCCCAGTCTCATTCATCAGGAGTGATCATGTCACCATTTTGCTCAAAAATCCTCCAGTCATTTTCTACCTCACTCAGAGTAAAAACCAAAGACTTAAAAATGGTTGACAAGGCCTTTTAGGACTACCCTTCCCAAGCCCTGCAACCAAAACATTTCTAAGTCTATTCCCTATCTGTCTTTCTCTTTACTGTCCAACCCAGCCACAATGATCTCCTTGCCCTCTCCTTCAACAAATATACTCCTTCTCACTAGGGAGCATTTGTATCTGCTAAACCTTTTCCTAAGACATCCCTATTTTTTTTTTAACTCCCTTCCTTTCTTTAGGTTTTTGCTCAAATAGCACTTTATTGGAGAGATCTTCCATGCTTCTCTTATTTTCTTTTTCCTACCAACATCCTATAGACTCTGTTTATTGTCTTGTTTACTAGATTATAAATTATAGGAGGGCAGGGAATTTTTTATCTTACTACTTTATCTTAGGGCATAGCACAATAGAGGTGCCCTATGTGTGTATGTGGAAATAACAAACAAAGGGATTAATGAATGCAATAAGAAATCATTTAACATTTTAGGCAAATAATTTATTTGATCATATGTGTTTTTTTTAAATGATACATCTAAAAGAGAAATGTGTAGGGAAGAGATTGAAGGGAGCACCGCCTCTGTGGAAGCTGGTGAAGTAATTCAGGAAAAAACTTAAAAAGGTGTCGAGTAGGGTGATGTTAGTAAGAATAAAAAGGGCAGATAAGAGAAATATTGGGAAAGCCACATTAACAACAAAGTATGGTGAGAAACGAAGTATGAGTCAAGTAAAATGTCAAGCATTGGCTGCTGGGACGGGAAAAAAACAGTAAGAGGAAATCTAGAAGGACATATTTAAACTTTCACAACATTATAAAATGTTATAATCATGAAAACAAAATAAATCCTTACATATGCATTTAATTAAGGACTATTAGGTGACCCTTACATTGAAGATTTATGGACAGAAACTGGTAATGACAATCTGAGAAAATTTTCAGGTGTACAAATAATTCTACCAATATCAAGCTCACAGTTTTAACTTATATCACGTAATGACCCTTTTCCTCATCTTTTTTTTTTTGTTTGTTTGTTTAATCTTTATTTTGAGAGAGAGAGAACGCAAGTGAGGGAGAGTCAGAGAGTGAGAGACAGAGACACAGAATCCAAAGTAGGCTTCAGGCTCTGAGCTATCAGGACAGAGCCCAATGTGAGGCTTCAACTCACGAGTCGTGAGATCATGACCTGAGCTGAAGTTGGGTGCTTAACTGACTGAGCCACCCAGTTGCTCACTTTTCCTCATCTTTTTAAATCCATTTTTCTTTCTCCTTCATCATGTGTATTACAACCCTTATAGAATAATCAAAGTCCTTTTCTTCATGAATAAGACCTTTTCTTTATTTTTTTAATCTGCTGTGATTATGACTTTGCATTTTGAAGTGATGTATACATAGCTAGTCATGATCTTAGTATTCCTATATGTTTGCAAAAATTTAGGATTAATGAATGCAAGACAATGTAGACAATTTTTTTTTAGGGAAGTAAAATTTGTATTTTTTATTTTTAACCCCAACTAACTAATGGCAAAACAAACTTTAGGAGTTTTTGACACATCTTTTCATCAGAAATGAACTAACTGATGACCATGAAAGTGATTGCCAAGAAATAAAGATCGAAAGAATTGATATTAGTTGTACTAGGAAATATGACCATTCATATATTGAGTTCAGTTCATTGATGGTGAAGTTTTAAGCATAGCATGTTATTCTGTGTTTATTTTTGTCTCAACAATCTAAAGTACTACTCTATAAAACATCTTCAAGGCACTAATGTTTAGATAACTTTCCATTGATTTGTGCTTTTCACATTTTCATTACAAGGGGAAAATGAGGCATATTTTGCTGTCATGTCTAATGACCTGTAATAAAAATATATCCATCAGTTTTCCATTTTTAAAAAAACACTAAGATTGATAGCTTGGTTTATCATAATTGAATGTTGGTATTCTTGGCATATGCATATCTTCTGAGTCAAACATCTTTGATTTTTAGGAAAGATTAGCAGAAGAAATTGAAAAGCTGAGATCTGAACTTGACCAATTGAAAATGAGAACTGGCTCTTTAATTGAACCCACAATATCAAGGTAACATTAAATTAAAATCTTATTTATAGTTTGCCAAAAATCAATATGATTTTTTTATGGTCCCGTATTACCTCAAATAAAATAAAACAGGCCTCTTACTGCCCAGCAGGCATTACCCTATGTTCACTCCTTACTCCTTACTGATTTACTATTTCTATATTCAAAAATAATTCTCTAACTTAGTAATCTGTTCTGCAAATATGCAATAAAAATTTTAAATATTACATTTTGTATTCTGCATTTAATTACACAGCTATAAATAACCTAAAAAGAGTCTTAAATGACGGAATAGAACTGTATGTGAGGAGATTACTTCTCATTCCAGGAAGAGGCAACACCTCTTTTCTCTACATGCAGAAATGCTTTCAATGTATAATGTTACTGAAGAAGTATCATTGATTATGGTCACTTAGCATCCACCTATCTTGTTAAATTAATTGCAAATACAAAGTGAAGGAGAAATTATACATGTTTTGAAAACAAGTAAATTTAGCCATACTCATCTGCTTTGACTCAGTACCTCATCTTGAAAAAAAGAAGCAATGACATAATTATTTATTCTTTAGATAAATACATTGATCTTGATAATTCACATGTAATTTTCTTTTGTGCTTAGGGCCTTTTATTTAAAGTTAATGAGAAACCCTACAAGGATTTACTCATTTGATCATTTATTTATTAGACAACATAATCGTATCAATTATTTGAAACATTTGACCACCACAGACTTTGAGAAGTTCGTTTTTCTTGGTCTTATAGTTATTCTAAGAATGTTCATTCCATGGGCGCTGGAATTTATGTTTGTTTTGGTTACTGTAATCTCAGTACCTAAAACAAAGAAACAAACCAAACCTGGTATATAGTATACTTTCAATAGATATCATTGAACAAATGAATATGTGTAATAAAGCATTTTTTAGATATTCAGATCAAAAATCCAAGTTAAAAAATCCTAAAGGTGCTTATATTCTCTTGAATGTATTAGTAAAAATAAAGTTCAGTATTTTGAGTATTTTTACCTTCAGTTTAATATAAGAAACACAGTTCTGCAGGCAAAAAAAAAAAAACATCCAAAGAACTTTTAAACATGTAGGTCTTTAATTTACAAAATTGTGTTTATTTTTCTAAATGCTTTATTATGATTTATGTATCTGAACTGAAATTATTAATTCAGTGATATTATCATGATGAGTACTGAGTAATTTATAGAACTGTGGAATCACTGTATTTTACACCTGAAACTAATAAAACACTGTACATTACTGAAATTAAATATATATATATATATATATATATATATATATATATACATACATACCTATATGTATATAATATCCTTAAAAAATAGAGAGTTGTAGAAGTGTTATCTAAAAGTTCTAAAAGTTCATCACTACACTGAGTCATCATGAACAGCCTAATAATATGACATTTATCCACAATGAAGGATCATTCTGAAAGCTTGGGAACTACATACAGAACAGTTCTTCTTTGATATACCAGATTGTAGTAGAAACAAAACTAGACCAAGAATAAGAAGATTGACATTTCTAGGTCTAATACATACAATTATTAGCTGTTTCATTTTGGAAAACCCACTTACCTTAAGAAGTTCAAATTTTATATGTATTTTACATGAATTATATATAAAATAATATTTTTATGATTATCTCACAAGCTTACTTTGTAGATAAAATGAGACTAGTGAGCAAAGGGGGTTTTGTAAACAGTAAATCAAAAAGTACAAAGTATTATAGGAATTACTGATTAGACAAACTGATGGAATTTATAATATGTTATAGGATAACAATATGTGTTGAATGGCAATTACTTATTGAACAAACATGCTTCTGAATGCACAATTTAAACAGCAATAAGAAAACAGAAGATGCATAGGAACTTCACTGATCTTACAGATGAATGAATAATACCTGTTTCAAATGGGAAACACAGGGATACTCTGAGGACTATTACAATAAAGGGAATACAAGGGGCTACGATAGTATAAGACAATGGGAATTTTAAGCTGACTTTAAAAATGTCAACCACATAAATGTGGGAAGAGACTATTTCTAGCAGAAAGAACATCATGTTCGAAGGCTCAGGATCAAAGGAAAGTGTGAGTTACTCAAGAAATGGAAAGAAAGTCAGTACAGCTGGATGGAGAGAGAGAAGGCAGATAGTAACTAGAAGTGAAGCTAGAAAGCAGGGTTCCAGATTGTAGAGGGCCTTGTAAGGCCATCGAAGGGTTTTAAGCAGGGCATCAATAGTAGCAGATCTGTGTTTTGGTTCACATTTTTATAAATGACCTGGAGTTGAGAGATAAGACAACAAGAAAACAATACTCCTAGGAAGATGAGTTATAATTTTAGAATCGCCCCTCCAATGACCAAAGAGACGTTACCCAAACAGTGACAGACAAGATACCTAGAATGTTCTAAGGTAGACAGTTTAGACTGTATTATGATTAATTTCATTCATTTATGAGCTTACTAGACATTTATCAAGTGTTTATTATATGCTAGGAATGCCTCCTTTAGCATACAATGGTAACTAAAATCTGACCTTTGTCTTCATGAAACATATACCCTGTTATAAATAGGTCCTGAGAGAGGTTCTATTTATGAATGTGACCTGGTTCGTTAGTTTTTATATGTGGCTATTCCATAATAAAACCAGTTTCCTTGATTGAGTTTCAAGTTCACTGCTATAAAAACTATAGCTGCCCTCCACTTGGAGGATGATTCCTTAGTTCATTTGCTTTAAATTTCTGCTTGACAAAACAGGGATTTGCATTAGTTAGGTCAGTGTCTTCTATTGTTGCAAAAATCTAGACCTCACGTAACCTTTTCTGATCTTGCCAATAGTTTGGAAATGCTAGGTTTTTTTTTTCTTTTTTTTTCACAAAAGGAACTAACAGAGCATAGTAGATCAGTAGGAGCCCCAAGTTCAAGAGAAAATACAGTGTTAAACATATTTCCTACTGATGATGGATCATTTTATAGTACAGCATGCTGTCACTATTATCATCATTATTATAGCAATAAACTGAACTTGCTATAAATCTATATATAAATAACGTGTAGCAAAATATTTATTACACTTTGATTACAGTGTTTATTGAAAACCAGTGTGATGATATTTTTCAACCGGAATTTTGCAACTATTTCATCTCTAACCATATTTCAGAATCAAATGTGCTTATCAAAATATTTTTCTTTATATTTTTGAAACAATGTCTTATCAAAAGCTGAAAAATTGTCCTGGTGGTAGGTCCCACTATATTTAAAAAATAAGATTATTAACCTTGGGTCCATTTAATTTTAAGTATTTTGTTAATTTCCTAAATTGAAAAATAGAACACCTTGAGAGAGAATTCTGGGACCCCAAAAGTTTACACATTTTACTGTTAGATTAGTGGGAAATATTTAAAACAGACACAGCAATAAATAACATATATTGGTATGTACACTAAATAATTCAACTACAATTCTATTTAGTTTTGTTTATCCTATTTGCCAGAATTTAAGCCAGTGGATCTTGGTTGTCAATCTTAACTTGTTTTATTTTACTACCGCGTTTGAAAATGATAATTAACAGACAGATGTTTTATATTCTGTTTAAACAGACAAGGTCACTTGACCTTCAAGAATGGACCTGAAACCAGTTTCTGACCTAAGCCTCAGAAGAGACCCCAAAGAGTCATGACAATTCACCAGTTTTCTTCTGTGATTTTTTTTCTTTTTTCTTGAGCATTTATGTTTTATTCCTTTTTTTTTTTAATGCTTTATTCTTTATTGAAAATTGAGCAGTTCATAGTGATTTGCTGGAAAGTTTAACTTTTGAGATTGAGCATATGTCATATTTTTCCCTTTTCCAGAACTCACCTAGACACCTCAGCTGAGTTGCGGTATTCTGTTGGATCCCTAGTGGACAGCCAGACTGATTACAGAACAACTAAAGTAATAAGAAGACCCAGGAGAGGCCGCATGGGTGTACGACGAGATGAGCCAAAGGTGAATTTTTTTTATTTCAAGTCTTTGATGATTCTCAGTAAATATACTGTTCCATTTTGGATAGAATTTTAATACTGAGAGAATTTAAAATGCTAGCATTTTTAGTTTCAAGCATGACATATTTTTTTAAACTATAACTAATGTAAAACTACCCCTATGTGCCGGAAGTTGAACTATACACTTCCCATGTGTGTACCCACATAACCTTATGAATTTGGTACTATTTTTATGTCAACTGCAGATATAAAAAGATTGAAGCTCAGAAATTTTAAGTGCTCAACATTAATTACACAGCCAGCAAAGTGAGAGGATCCAAACTTGAACCTCTATTTGTTTCAAATTCCATGCTTTTATCCAGTATGCTGTATTGCCACACAAATGGACTTTTGGTTTGCTTGGGCACTTATGCATTGGCATTCATATTGTCAATTAAAATTAATTAAATATTTTAAGTAGAATTACTGTTTTAATAAAACTTCGAGAAAAATGTACACACACTATTGCAAGTGTTTATGGAGAACTTCTGATAAATTGCAGGGCTGTCTTTCATTCAGTCAGTTAACTTGCAAGCTATGTATATTGTAAGTTTTTCATTGCATTTTATACTGAAGTGATATAGTTCCTTTGTGCCCTAAGTATAGCTTTTTCTCCCCAACCACTTTTATGTGTCAAATACTACATAACCTACTTGTCCTTATTTGTACACAGGTTCTTGGATGCCCTATGGTTTTTAATTGGTACCCATGTCATGCATAATTTAATCCCTCATAGTAGGCATTCAATATCTGTTAAATGAATGAATAAAGAAGTGAACAGAGGAAGACTAAATCAAATCCATCTTGGTTCTTTTCATATGCCAAATAAACTAGTTCCACTTGTACGAAACCAATTTGTGACACAAATACTAATTCAGGTCATCAATCTTAAATAAATACTCAGGGCAAAATCATGTGGTCCCCCTCCCCCCCCCCCCCCCCGCCAAAAAAATCATTTTACATCATCACAAAAATGAAAAACATTTTTTTAAATACAAAAAATTCTTTCTTACTTTCCTTCCTCTCCTACCTTCAGATCACACCTTGAAAAATGCTGGTCTGTTGCTTACTCAGGATTTTCACTGGGGCACCTGGCTGGCTCAGTCAATAAAGCATGCGACTCTTGATCTTGGGATCATGAGTTGGAGCCCCACATTGGGTGTTTCAGATTATTTACAAAATTATTTTTTTCATTCACATGAGGGATTTATTATATCAAATAAAAAAAAACATAGCCATGTAAATTAGTGTGCCTTGGGCTTAAAAAAAAATCAATGAAGCATTTGAGTGATCAGAACAGTAGAGATGAAATTAATATTTTTTTAATAATATGTTGTTAGAACCTATGTAAATGAATGTTGGGGAGAGAATTATTATATAATTTGTGTGGCAATATTTGTAGTCAGCCTGTAACAAAGTGTAAGTAAGACTAATTAGTATAAGAGATGGAAATGCATCAGTACAAGTGAATAGAGGGTGTTATATTTAGAAAGAAGGAAAATGTTTCAAACATAGATGCTTTAAAGTAATTGATACCTCACATTGAACCAGAAATCATGTGTAAGTTTATCATAATTATTCCTATTAAAATCTTGATATTTATGCTGACAATTAGTACCTGCCATTACTTAAGATGTCAAAGAAATATTTTATTAAAACAATACATTAAAATTTTAATAATCAGTTCTGCTTTTCCTAAGTAAGCTACAAGAGTGTGTGCAAGTTGATTTTTTCAGACTAGTGCTTTGATAATGAGCAATTAGATATGTACAATAATTACTCATTTACCATTCAGGTGAAATCTCTTGGGGATCATGAGTGGAATAGAACTCAGCAAATTGGAGTGCTAAGCAGCCACCCTTTTGAAAGTGACACTGAAATGTCTGATATTGATGATGATGACCGAGAAACTATTTTTAGCTCAATGGATCTTCTCTCGCCAAGTGGTCATTCTGATGCCCAGACTCTAGCCATGATGCTTCAAGAACAGTTGGATGCCATCAACAAAGAAATCAGGTGAGTTCAATTATCACTGATGGTTTTAAGGGATTAGAAGACCTTGATCCTAAAAATATCATGATTAGATCAGAAGCACTGGCATCACTTGGGAGCTGCAGACTCTGAGACCTCACACTACACTGAATCAGAATGTGCATTTTCACAAGATTCTTAGGATATCTATACATGTCCTGTGTAAAATTAGGACGATCTTTATAAGGAACATATATGAAACATAGGTAAACTAATGATTTTAGGGCAATATAAAAGCATAAGGTAAAGATAAAATATTCTCTGATGAATTTTAAGTCGCCTTTTATTTATTTATTTTTTCAACGTTTTTATTTATTTTTGGGACAGAGAGAGACAGAGCATGAACGGGGGTGGGGGGCAGAGAGAGAGGGAGACACAGAATCAGAAACAGGCTCCAGGCTCCGAGCCATCAGCCCAGAGCCTGATGCGGGGCTCGAACTCACAGACCGTGAGATCGTGATCTGGCTGAAGTCGGACGCCCAACCGACTGCGCCACCCAGGCGCCCCTTAAGTCGCCTTTTAAATTAAAATCTATTTAAATGACATTTTGTGGTAATAAGGTACATTTTGAAGGTACATTTAACACTACAGTAAAGGTACTGAATAGCATGCAATTAATGTGCAGCCAGCTCCTTAAAAGTATATAGACATCAGAGTGAAACTAACTATGACTGAATTATTGTATACTAGATATGAAAAAAAAAACACACTGTCACCACACTGATAATTAGATGGCTTCCAAAGAGTAGATTAATTATGGGATTAAGTTGTATAAGTTAACAATTCAAACATTGAGAAATATTGTCACTAAGATAATCTCTCTTTTTTTGGATAATTTCAACTTTAACAATATATACTTTCTTGAATCCCAATGATGATCATAGTCTCTCTCTTTTTTTTTTTTTTTTTAGTAAAGAAAAATGTAAGGATTAACACACCCTTTGAATATGTTTTTAAATATTTTTAAGGTTTAAAAAATGCTTACAGTTTGTAGTTCTTAGTAGGAAAACATTATCTGAACATTATCTGAATGAATACCCTAATGGAAAACCACTATAAAATGTTTCAGTTGCATGTGGGGCAGAGGGGTAGGGATTATCTTCACAGCACTCCAGCTTTCTCCAGGAGGAGGTCACAGGTACACTGGTTTGTGTTACGACATCCAATAGGTGATCTAAGTTGCTTTTCCTTCAGCAAGGGCTTTATTTGTCAGAAGGGCGTTATGCTTGACCTCCAAATTTGTCTGACAATTTACTGATGAGATTCATTACTTTTGTGCTGCTCTGATATTTTGACCTATTTGCTGAGTTCTGGGCCATATCCTGGAAGGCCACCATAACTTTTGGATCCTGCATGGCTGCAAGAACCTCTGGGTCACTAAGAATTTCATTGAGCCCAGGCATTCCTGCCATTCCAAGCATTCCCCCTGCCATTCCAGGCATGCCTCCAAGAAAATTACCACACATTCCCCCAGGAAAGCCACCTGGAAAAGAGCCATACTGAGCTCCTGATTGTCCTCTGGCTTCTTCCTCCCTCTGAGCTCTCTCCTGTTCTTCCCAAACCTTCTTAGCCCTTTCCATTCTTTCTTTGATGTTTCTCTCTTCACATTTTTGCTCATACTTTCTCCAATGTTCAGCAATTTTCTGGGCCCTCAGTTGAACTTCTTTCAACATTGCACTAGCATCTTCATCATAATCCAATTTACAAGCAAGAGCAAGATCATGTGCTGCTTCTTCCCAATGGCCCAGAAGTCTGTGTCCTTTTCCTTTACACTTGTAAGGCTGAGCTGAGTCAGGATTTATTTCAATAGGTCTGTCACAGTCTCAAATGGCAGTATTTGGCTTCTATAATTTGATGAAGACCCTGGCTCTCGTGGCATACAGAATGGCCAAGCGAGGATTCAGCTTAATGGCATGTGTGAACAAGTCAGTGGTTTTCCGTAGTTCACCATCATTTAGGGCATCAGTGGCAGCCACTTTTTTATCATTTGCCTGATCCATCATTTCCTGGGTTATCTCCACATTTTCATCTCCCATTTCTTGAGGGGCATCAGTATCTGGTTCAATCATACCTTCATTGTTAATTTCTAGATCACTCTCCTCACTTGATGGTCTGTCTTTGTATTTTCTTTCCTCCACCTTCTTACTATCTGTTTTTTCTTCCTTGATATTTATTGTCTTCTGATTTAGTTTTATGAGTAGAAGGTGGTATTTTTACCCCCCATGCTCTCTGCCCACTCCCACAGGAAGCACATTTTTCTCAGTGTGCAGCACACTCAGATAGTGCTTACTCATTTTTCTGAAGGCCTGAAGATCACTCACTTTGTGGGGGTCGATGGTCCAGGCAGTGGCAAGGCTAAGATTTCAGCCTGATTCCAGGCAAGGGTACTAGATCAGCATGACTGTGTGGAAGGGTCATAGTTTCTTTTTTTTTATCATTGACTTAACTAACCTCAGTGAAGAACCCAGCTGTGTCAAGTGGATTTATATTCTTTTGAACATTGAGAAACTATTCTTAACTTGTTTTTTTCTTCAACAAATGAACAGTATTTTACTATTTTGAACACTGTTTTTGTTTTTCTGGCTCTAGCTAAATCTGTTGGCCTCCTAATATGATTCAAATCTATCCAGTTCTCTAACTATCATCACCCTATTGGGCATTATAATAAGTTTTCATCTAGATGACAATAATAGTTTCTGCCTGGTTTCTTCATAATATACGGGTTCCCCATCTGACTTTTTAAAACCCAGTTTGCTTATGTAAGGTCACCCTTTTTCAACCCCTTCAGTTGCTTTTAAGATAAAGAACAAAATACTTCATATGGTCTACAATGCCCCATCTGCCTCAACTTTCTCACCTACCTTATTCTATATCCCATTAAACATGACTTCCAGTTCTTTGAATGTTCCATGTTCTCTCCTTTGTCGTTGCTATTCCTTTCTTCTGGAACATTATCCTCATTCCACACCCTTGTGCCCTAACATTTCACCCTCTTTACCCTTACTCACCATGAACATCTCCACCATTCCTTCTTCTGACCTTCAGTTTGTTTTACTGTCCTTCAGTTCCTTACCTTTATTAGATTGTAAATTATATAAAAACAAGAAATGGATCTTGCTTTGCTCACTGTTTTATGTCCATATCTTGGCACTTTTCTTGATAAATAGAAAGTGCTTCATAATGATAGATTAGCATAAATAGAAAAAATAATATAGGGGTGCTTGAGTGGCTCAGTTAGCTAAGTGTCTGACTCTTGATCTTGGCTCAGGGCATGATCTCATGGTTCATGAGTTTGAACCCTGTATCAGGCTCTGCTTGGATTCTCTCTCTCTCCTTCTCTCTCTCTGCCCCTCCCCTGCTCATGTGCTCTCTCTCTCTCTCTCTCTCTCTTGCTCATATGCTTGTCTCCTTCTCTCTCTCTCTCTCTCTCTCTCAAAATATATAAATAAACTTAAAAAAAGAAAAAGAAGGAATATAGAACGTAAATTCAAACTAAATAACACTTTTTGATGCTTTGCAGTTAATGGTTGAACTCACTGCATAGATTTGAAATCAAGTATATATCTCTGTGAAATTTGTTGTCTCTGAAAATAAATACACACACCTTCAATAACAACCTGTTTCCCTCCAGGAACTCAGCTTTGTTACATTAAGATAGTAAAGCCCAGTTATAATCTTGACCTAGGCTAATTAAGTTTGATAAATAGTATGTTCAAACTACTGTCCTTTTATATATTTCTTTGCTGACCCTAGTAATGTATTTAATATAGTTGCTAATTTGTAAGAAATTAAGAAGTACATATAATTTAAGTGTATAGCAACATTCAAAGACACAGGAATCTTGGAAATCACGGAAAGATTGTGGAGTAGAAGGACCTTGCCTCATCCCATAAACAACTAGATAACACTCATGTCAGTGCAAATAACCCAGAGGATGATTAGAAGACTGGAAGAAAAAACTCCGTAACTAAAGGTAGAAAAGATATCTGTAAAAATTAGCCAAGGGATTCACAAAATAAAAGGATGTAAAATATGACACTATAGACTAAAATGTGGTGTGGAGAGGATTAAAGCATGGGTTCAAATGTAAACGACCATCAACTTAATATTGACTGCTAATGGTAATCACAAGTCCAAAACCAGTAATGGATATGCAAAGAATAAAGAGGAAGGAATCCAAGTATATCACTAAAGAAAGCCAACAAAACATGAAAGAAAGAGAAGGATGAGAGAAAAACTACAAAAACAACTACAAAACAAGTAACAAAATGGCAATAAATACATATCTATCAATAATTACTTTGGATATAAATAGACTAAACACTCCAATAAAAAGACATGGAGTGACAGATTGAATAAAAATCAAGACCCATCTATATGCTGTCTACACAAGATACATTTCAGACCTAAAGACACCTGCAGATTGAAAGTGAGGGGATGGAAGAATATTTATCATGCAAATGAATGTCAAAAGAAACCATTGTAGCAATGCTTATATCAGGAAAATAGACTTCAAAACAAAGACTGTAACACTAGAGACACTAGAAAGACACAAAGAAAGACACTATATGAGAAATAAAGGGAACAATCCAACAAGAAGACATAAGAATTGTAAATATGCATCCAATATGGGAGCATTCAAATCCATAAAAGGTTTAATAACAAATGTAAGGGAACTAATCAGTAGCAATACAATAATGGTAGAGGACTTTAACTTACATCAAAAGACAGATCATCCAAACAGAAAATCAATAAGGAAACAGTGGCTTTGAATAACACATGAGACCAGATGGATTTAAAAATATATTCAGAACATTTCATCCAAAACAGCAGAATACACATTCTTTTCAGGTGCACATAGAACATTCTCCAGAATAGATCCCGTATTAGGCCACAAAACAAGTCTTAGCAAATTTGAAAAACCAGTCATACCATGCATCTTTTCTGACTATAACACTATGAAACTAGAAATCAACCACAAGAAA